CCAAAGCTTTATTTTTGCTCAAGATGAGTGCTCTACCACTTTGAGTCACAGTCTCACTTCTAGCTTCCTCGTAGTTAACTAGAAGTAAGAATCTCATAGCTTAAGCCAGGCAACGGTGCCTCACGCCTGTAATCCTAGCTACTCAGGAGGCTGAGATCTGAGGATCTCAGTTCAAAGCCAGCCTGGACAGTGAGACTCTTATCTCCAATAAACCAATAGAAAACAAGAAGTGGCGCTGTGTCTCAAGCGGTATAGCGCTTGCCTTGAGCTGAAGAGCGCAGGGACAGTGAGTGTCCAAGCCCAGAGTTCAAGTCCCACAACCCCCACACACAAACACACACACACACACACACCCTCTCTCTCTCTCTCTCTCTCTCTCTCTCACACACACACACACACACACACACAGAGCTTTTCTGGCTGGGCTGGCTTTGACCCACAATCCTCAGATCTCAACCTCCTGAGTTGCTAAGATTACAGATATGAGTTACCAGTGCCAGCTGTTAACCCAAATTTTACAAAAAAAGGACATTGGGATGCACAGGAAACCATTCAAAACTCAAGAGGCATTCAGTAAGGCCAGTTCAAGCTTAACTGCCTAGCTCTACCAGAGCTTCTGGCCCTTCTACTTTTCATAACGTGCCAATATGTGCTACTTCACATGAAAAAGAACTGTGGGCTTCAACAGCAAAAGAACCCTAAATTAAGACATCAGCTCACCCAAGCTGTACTGCTCATAGCTGTGTGATCTTAACTCACTTGCCTCTCCCGACTAGCTTTGTGGGTAATATAAGAAAGACAGAACCCAGTCCTGCTCCTCCCTGGAAGGCCCTGGGGAGCATACACCTCTTAGAGGGTCAATTGGGATGGACTCCTTCCATTTCAACTTTCCTGAGAAGCAAGTTTCCTCAGCTATGTATAATGGGGTCACCATGGCATAATTTTGTTTCCCAGTTAAAACTAGAAAAACCCAATTCTACAATAAGCAATTGATTCATTTCCTGCACAGGTGGAAAAAAAAGTCCACTGAGACAAGTCAGTCAGTAGCTCCCCAGAGCAGTCCTTCCCAACTCATTGTCCGTAACTTCACAGGTTCTGATCCATCTTTCTAGCCACTCCCTGAAAAGCTACAACACATCTCACCCATGGTCAACATAACTAACCACAGAAGGAAATATGCTCAGACCACAGTATTCAGAATCTACTTAGAGAACCCCTGAGACCCATTAGGGGACAGAGGCTACCTGGGGCTATACTGCTAGGGGTTAAAATAGCTCAATGCATAATATGAAGTTCTCCTGAGGCCAAAGATAGATAAGATAGAGCAAGAGTGGACAGGGACCCAGACAAGGGTGCATACTGACAGAACTAGCCAGACTCCTAAGATTAAAATCTCATCTGAGTCACAGCCTTATGAGTGCTCTATATTTCAACTTCTCTATCTGTAAAACAGGGCTAATAAGAGTCTAGCAGGGACCAGTTGAGAACTGATCAATACATAACTTAATGCTCAGGACAGAGTCTGACACATAATACATTCTAATAAACCAGCATCAAATGTACATTAAAAAGAAACTTAGGGCCAGGAGAAGGTGGCTCATGCCTGTAATCCTAGCAACTCAGGAGGCTGAGATCTGAGGATCACGGTTCAAAGCCAGATTGGGCAGGAAAGACTGAGACTCTTACCTCCAATTAACCACCAGAAACCTTGAAAGTAGCTGTGACTCAAGTGGTAGAGAGTGCTCGCTTGGAGCTGAAAAGCTCAGGGAGAGTGTCCAGGCCCAGAGTTCAAACCCCACAACCAACTAAAAAAAGGAGGAAGAAGAGAAGGAGAAGGAGGGGAAGAAGGCAGGGAGGGGGAGGGGGAGGGGCAGGAGGGGGGGGGGAGGAGGAGGAAAGTTAGGGGGCTGGGAATGTGGCTTAGTGGTAGAGTGCTTGCCTAGCCTGTATGAAGCCCTGGGTTGGATTCCTCAGTACCACATAAACAGAAAAAGCCAGAAGTAGAGCTGTGGCTCAAGTGGTAGAGTGTGAGCCTTGAGCACAAGAAGCTCAAGGACAGTGCCCAGGCCCTGAGTTCAAGCCCCAGGACTGGCAAAAACAAAAACAAAAAGAAACTTAGAAGCAGGCACCACTTAAATCAGGCTCAAGTCTATAATCATAGCCACTAAAGAGGCTGAGATAGCTAGTACCTCCAAAATACTGTTCAAAGTCAGGATCCTGACAGATAACATAAAGACCATGATGGAGAAGCACCAGACAGACTCTAACTGGTACTTTCAGACAAGCACACAAGGATAAGGTCTGGCTAAGAATAATACCTGCTCTCTTGCCCAGGAAAGTCAAGGGGCCAGTTAAAGGACCTCACTTTTCACAGGGCAAATGAAGACACTACCAGGAGACTGTTGCAAATATCTGGTCTAGAGAACCAAGACACTTTGTGGCTCATGCCTATAATTCTAGCTACTCAGAAAGCTGAGATCTGAGGATTCCAGTTCAAAGTCAGCCTCGCAGGAAAGTCAGTGAGGCTCATATCTCCAATTAGCCACCAAGAAGCTGGAAGTGGAGCTATGATTTAAGTGGAAGAGCACTAGCCCTGAATGAAAACACTGACAGTGCCCAGGCCCTGAGTTCAAAGCCCCAATATAGTCGCATGCGCAGGCATGCACGCGCACGCACGCACGCACGCATGCACATGCACACACACACACACACACACACACACACACACACACAGATTACTTCACCTCCTCTCTCCAGGAGCCATGCAAATTCCTTGTTCTACTTAGGTACTACATGAGGTCTTCCTTGAAGCTTTCCTCTGTTTACTGTCTCCCATACTCAAGGGTGGGAAAAATATATACAAAGGGGTACATGACTGATCTATACCCAGCTTCCTCTTGGACATTCCCAAAGGGAAGGGTGTGTTCTCTGCATTTGCCCATCCCTAGTGATGGATAGATAGCAGGATTTCACCTATACTTTCTCAATTGCTTCAGGTCAGGTGGCAGGATATGTGAATAGACTGGCAAGAGAAAGGGAGTTAGGGACATTGGTCATCTATGTGATCTAGGCAGGTGATGCTGTACCTAGAACCAGAGGTAGACAGGGACAATGTATAGCTTCATCTGGGAGCCCAGTGACCTCATCTGCAAAATGGGACCCAGAAAACAACAGGATGACATTCTACCTCTCTACAGGTATATTCATGTTTACAAAAAATCCAATCACTAGAATCCTCAAACCCATTTGCTCTATTTCTAGAGAAGCAATACAGCATCCCCATCCCCATTATTTTCCTGGTTTCTGGTCCTACCAAAGCCATTTCACAATCTCAACCACTCACTAGTCAGGGAGAATTCAGTTAGGTGAGCAACCAGTTGTATTCAGGGGGCCCCCAGGCAGGAATACTGGGGAGGATGCAGACGTTCCATGCAAAGGCAGAGCTAAGAGGTGCAATTTAGATGCACTGACCAGGGCACAACAGGAGTGTACATCTGTGCTCCCACATCCAGCCTAGTGTCACTCACAAAAGATAACCATGGGTACCTTCTACCTTCACAAGACCCTTCCTCCATTAAAAAATAGTAAAAACTGGGGCTGGGAAGGTGGCGCAGTGGTAGAGCACTTGCCTTGCATGACTGAGGCCCTGGGTTCGATTCCTCAGCACCACATAAGCAAAAAGAAAAAAGCTGGAAGTGGCGCTGTGGCTCAAGTGGTAGAGTGCTAGCCTTGAGCTGAAGAGTTGAGGGACAGCGCCCAGGCCCAGAGTTCAGGCCCCATGACTGGACCCAAAAAAAAGAAAAGAAAAATAGTAAAAACTTTACTGTCCAGTGAACTGGTACAGAGATGACTGTATTAACACGTTTTTTTTCTCCTAATTTTTTCTGCAGATTATAAAACATTTTTACCCAGGCTAGAAAGGTGGCTCAGTGGTAGAGTGCGTACCCTGCATGTATGAGGCCCTGGGTTCGATTCCTCAGCACCACATAAGCAGGAAAAAAAAAAAAAGCCAGAAGTGTTGCTGTTACTCAAGTGGTAGAGTGTTAGCCTTGAGCTGAAGAGCTGAGAGACAGTGCCCAGGCCCAGAGTTCAGGCCCCACGACCAACCGAAAAAAACAAAACAAAACACATTTTTACCAGCCCCTAAAAATACAGTGTTCATGGCCCAGTATCTTCCTCCTGTACAAGGAGATCAGTCTTTGGAGATGGTTAGGGTTTCTTAGCTCAGTTAAAGGGCATCCAAAATAGACCGAAACAAGGCTGGGAAGGTGGCTCAGTGGTAGAGTGCTTGTCAAAATAGGCCGAAACAAGCCCTCTGCTTCCCCACCAGCAACATACACAAAAACTTTCAAGGGGGAGTTCCAAAAGCATTTAATCACATCACACAGATGAACCACTACAAGTGCCTGGCACCCACAGAAAGATGGATACCCTGGGCACACAGTGCTTGGTGGACTCCTAGTACATCCTTTGGACCAGGCTCCGATCTGAGGACTTCTCGGGTGCAGCGCCTTACTGGTGACAACATGCCACCCAGCCATCGCTGTCCAGGACTGAAAGGCTGGCATGAGGCCCCAGGGGGCGGACGCCTGAGAAACCAGGTGCCTCTGCGAGCTGCTCACAGTCCCCAGCCCTCCACTCAACCCTGACGGCCGGCAGGCAGGAAGGCGAACCACAGACGCAGCAAGTGGCCTGGGACTCTCAGAGCAGTCAGCGCCCGGTGGACGTGGGTCCAGAAGCAACGTCCTCGAGGGCAGAGAGGCAGTGAGCGAGATGCTCCGAACCCAGGAGTACGGTCCCTCGCGCTTGGCGGCCAGCAGCAAATCAAAACTGGCCGACCCCATCCCCAGCCAGACGCAGAGCCCGCTGGAGGTCTGGGCTGGGGGAGTGAGGTCCCGGGCCGACCCTGGCCCCGACAAGGCCCCACCCCCCGGCCGCCCTCCCTGCCCCGCCCCCGGCCGCGCCCCCGTCCTCCCCATCTCCCCCACCGCGCCACGCACCTGGCCGCAGCGGCTCGGTGACGGTGAGCACCAGCAGGAAGAGCAGCAGGAAGGCACCGCTGTCTGCCTTGGGCACCATTTATCCTCCGTTCATCGTCCCCGAGGCGGCCGCGTAACCCCGCGGGGAGACCGGACCGGGCCGGGCTTAGGGCTTGGGAGCCGGGCCTGGGCCAGGCACGGAGAGACCGCGAGCGAAGGAACCAGCAGAACCGCGGTGACAGTGAGTCGCGGCAAGGTAGGGCCACGGACTTACGCGCACTCTAGGCCCGAAGCCTCGAGCTCCTATTCCGGCTCCGCGCAAGATGGCGGCCGTCCTGTTCGGGCCCTCGTCGCCCCGCCTGCGACGCCAGCGGTAGCCAATGAGCGCCGGGCAGGGAGGTGGGGCTTACGTGGCAGGGCCCGGGAGAGGCGAGGCCTAAGGGCGGGACAGCAGAGAGTGGAGACTAAGGGGTGGACCCGGAGGGGAAGGAGGGACTATAAGTAAGGAAGCGTACCATTGGCTAATAGGAGGGGTGGGGCTACGGGGCGGAGCCTAGGCATAGGGTCCCACGGTGCCGGGGCGGGGGCGGGACTGAAAGGGCTGCAGCTTCGGGGTGGGCAGAATGCCCCCCACCCCTCCGCCCCACCGTGAGAAACCGAGGTGGTGAAGCACAGGACCTGGAAACGCGAAGGGACTTCACACCTGCAGATCCAGGTCCCATCCAGTACCCAAAAGTGTCTCCTAAACTGTTGTTTGTTTTTTTTTCCTAAAGCTGAATTGCTATGGAGGAGGGGGAAAAAAGCAGCAGGGCGAAGTCCCCACGGCAAGGGATAGCTGTGGCTTCACCTGCACAGAAAACAAAATGTGTCAAGATGGCTAACGGGACATCATTCAGAGAGATCACAGGGAAGGCCAGATCCTTGAGACTGAAGCAAAGCTGCCCTTCTGTGGAGGTAGAAAGTTCATTGAGAACAGAGCTCCAAATGCTGACCGTCATGAATAGGGAGGAGAGGGCAGGTGGCAAATCCTCAGCAAGAGGGAGAAACAAATTGTCCAGGGGAAAGACCACCAGCCATGCATATAGGCCTAGCAGTAGATGGTCAGGGCTAGAGAAGATAAAGATGAGAAGTAGAGAAAAGGGGGAAAGAAGGCCAAAGCTGCTGGGGATCCATCCCAACCTGACTCACCTCCATCTCTTGACTCACTCCTGAGTATTCTCCAGAAGGTCCCAGGTTTCTAACTTGTGACACTTGGAATCATGTGAATGAGGGAGGAACACATGTTCACCATAAGCAGATAAGGCCAAGGTCAATTCCAAAGTTAGGCCAGACTTTTAAGAGCTCCTATACTCCCAGCATTTGACTCAGAACAGGGGCTAGACAAAGGTCCTGTCAAAACAGAGGGGCAGGCCAACCAGAAAAAACAAAGATTTTGTCCAGTGCTGGCACTGAAGCTTGCATTTTCTTTGGAGCATTACCAGGGACAGCTGTGAGTACTCAGCTCAGGATCCAGTCTCAGCCTTTGGCCCGCCGCCTCCTCTTCTCCCCCCCCCCCCCCCCACCACCACACACACACAGTGTTCCAGCCCTAAATCTGCCCTGGTAGCCTAACCAGGGATATAGGCTGGGTAGGTATCTATCCCGGACTCACAGCCAAGAGCAGAATTCCTGCCAGTCATCTCTCTGTAGAGCCACTGTAAGAAGCAGTTCAGCAAAGGTTCTGATGAGAAAGAACAAAGGGAGGTGACAAATCCAGCCAAACCGTTTAGCAAAAGGGCAGAGTCCTGGCTTCCCAAGCTGCAGCAACCACTGGGCAGCCTGTCTCTGTCAATCCTGCTTCACCTTTATCCTTCTCAACATCTATGTGCTGCCTATGTAGACAGACTCAAGAGGAGGGCTGGGAAGGTGGCTCAGTGGTAGAGCACTTGCCTTGCATGCATGAGGCCCTGAGTTCGATTCCTCAGCACCATGTAAGCAAAAAGAAAACAGCCAGAAGTGGCACTATGGCTCAAGTGGTAGAGTGCTAGCCTTGAGCTGAAGAGCTGAGGGACAGCGCCCAGGCCCAGAGTTCAGGCCCCATGACCGGACCCAAAAAAAAAAAAAAAGAGAGAAGGGAAAAGAGATCAGGGACTTCCCTGTCACTGTCCCATAGGGTTAACAGCAGCCTGGCTCTTTCCCTCCACCAAAGGTCACTGCCTCTTTGTACACTTCTCCATACTCTCTCCATCAACTTCCTCTTTCCTACAATCTGCTCTCACTTTTGTGAGGACTGTCTTCTGTTTCCTGTTGAAACCCTGACTGATAGGACCCCCAACCCTAGATTCCCTAGATTGATCTGGATTGCAGTCATTCACAGCCCTGGCTTCAGGTTTAGGAACATTGATAAAAACTTCATGTCCCTCACATCCCCCTTATACCTCAGGGTCAAGCAAGGCAAGCACTAAGCCACTCTGGATCTTCAGTCTGCTCCAGCCCAATGTCAGATCTTCCAGGGTTCTAAGTCCAAGTGGCTTAGGCTAGAGCATCATTCCCCCAGGGCACTCTTCCTTTGTGACTTCACCCATTGAAGTCACCTGGGAGACAGTGTTGAAGTTCCATCCTAGAGTCTTGGAGTCTTAAGAGGCAGGGCCACCAGGCCCGGCCAGCCCAAAGGACTCTTTGTCCACAGTGTAAATGAGGACTCTGCTGGCCCATGTCCGGCAGGGATGTAGAGGGCAGACTCAGAGACACCGGGCGCTCCCAGCACCATGGATGACGCTGCCGTCCTGAAGCGACGAGGCTACATCATGGGGATAAATTTGGGAGAGGGCTCATACGCAAAAGTCAAATCCGCTTACTCTGAGCGCCTAAAATTCAACGTGGCGGTCAAGATCATCGACCGCAAGAAAGCCCCCACGGACTTCCTGGAGAAATTCCTTCCCCGGGAAATTGAGATTCTGGCCATGCTAAACCACCGCTCCATTGTCAAGACCTACGAGATCTTTGAGACATCAGATGGGAAGGTCTATATCGTCATGGAGCTCGGGGTCCAGGGTGACCTCCTCGAATTCATCAAAACGCGGGGAGCCCTGCAAGAGGATGATGCTCGCAAGAAATTCCACCAGCTCTCCTCAGCCATCAAGTACTGCCATGATCTGGACGTTGTCCACCGAGACCTCAAGTGTGAGAACCTTCTGCTCGACAAAGACTTCAACATCAAACTATCTGACTTTGGCTTCTCCAAGCGCTGCCTGAGGGATGACAGTGGCCGCCTAACATTAAGCAAGACCTTCTGCGGGTCCGCAGCATATGCAGCCCCCGAGGTGCTGCAGGGTATCCCCTACCAGCCCAAGGTGTATGACATCTGGAGCCTTGGTGTGATCCTGTACATCATGGTCTGTGGTTCTATGCCCTATGATGACTCCAACATCAAGAAAATGCTACGCATCCAGAAGGAGCACCGTGTCAACTTCCCACGCTCCAAGCACCTGACAGGTGAGTGCAAAGACCTCATCTACCGCATGCTACAGCCAGATGTCAACCGCCGACTGCACATTGATGAGATCCTCAGCCACTGCTGGGTGCAGCCTAAGGCACGAGGTTTGTCCTCTGCGGCCATCAACAAAGAGGGGGAGAGTTCCAGGGGCACTGAACCTTCATGGACCCCTGAACCTGGCCCTGAGAAGAAATCCGCCACCAAGGTGGAACCTCGAGAAGAGGCCCGCCCTGAGACAAAACCCGAGGAAGAAGCAGCACAAGTGGCCAAGCAGCCAGAGCCCCTGGGCTTAAGCAGTGAGCAGCTGCCCAGGGAGAAAGAGGAAGTCCCACCCCAACAGCCTCCAGAGACACACACCTAGCAAGGCTCTGTGGGCCCAGGGGGCCAGCAGGGAACAAGGCAGAACTCCTGGCTTGCAGCCTGAGCCAGGAAGAAGTCAAGGGACAACCAGAGAAGGTAGACAGTCCCGGATGAGCCGCTATTTTTTCGTGTTTTTCTCTCCCCCTTTGAACTTATAACTCACATGGCTAAAGAAGCAATAAATCACTATATTAGTGCAGATCCTAATGTGAAGGAATGTCTTTGCCCAGTTAACTGTAATCTTGGGCCCCCCCTATCTTCCCACTCAAATAGCAAATCCTCACTTGTAGGAAAATACATCTCAGTGCACCCAACCCCAATTCTGGCATCAGGCTGAGGCAGCTGCCCCAGTCAGAGGCTAGAGAGGCAGAGTACAGGGTAGAAACCTAAGAAAGATGTGGGGAGAGAGGGAAGGAGAGGACCAAAGAGGGTGGTGTGACAAGGCACCAGTGACTCCTGCCTGTAATCCTATTCAAGAGGCTGACATCAGAGGATCCTGGTCTGAAACCAGCCCAGGCAGGAGTTTGTGAGACTCTTATCTTCAATTAACCATCACCAAGCTGGAAGTGAAGTCGTAGCTCAAGTGGTAGAGTGCTAGCCTTGAGTAAAAAAGGTAAGGGGCAGGTCCCAGGCCCTCAGTTCAAGCCCCAGGACTGACACAAAAAGGAGGAGGGGAGGGAGGTGGCTGCTTGCAGAGACAGGAGGCCTGGAAGAGCTAGAGCTGATGACTGAATTTGGGGCTCAGAGGCCAGACAGATATACTGTCATCACCTTAGTACACCCTGCCACATAAGCCTGCCAGCAGGAGTTAGGGACACTATAGAGATCAGGTAGTCCAGCCATGTATTCCCTCTTGAGCTCCCTGACCTGTGGGGTAACTGGTTTTTCTGCTCTGTCTGCCACGGGACATCTTTCCTCACATCAAGCCAACACTCAGTTCACAAAAATGCTGAGTTGCCTGCCCAGGATTAATGAGGGGTTCCACTGGATAGAACAGCATACATATCCTATAGTTTCATGTGGCCTTGACCACATCCCACCCCCCCCCACACCCCTAAATCCCAGCTGGTCCCCTGGAAGTGACATCCTTGCCAGAGTTGTTGAAGCAAGTATGATAGGCATCTTCACAAAGTGTGTCTGAGACTGTGCTTAGTACAAAGCCACCAAGGGTGTCTGACCTACACTGGCACCACTGGCTGCCCTGTGCCACTCCCTCTGCCTGTTCCATATTGCAGGGTGGTCCTCACCTCGATGTGGTGGCCCATTTTTCTTCACCATGCTCTGGACAACCTCATGGGGACCTAAGAGTTTAACACACATTTTAAAAAAAAGAAAAGAAAAATGGGCTGGGAATGTGGCTTAGTGATAGAATGCTTGCTTAGCATGCATGAACCCCCGGGCTTGATTCCTTTGTACCACATAAACAGAAAAAGCCAGAAGTAGAGTGAACAAAAAAGAAGCTCAGGGATAGTGCCCAGGCCGAGTTCAAGCCCAGGACTGGCACAAAAAAACAAGAAAACAAAACACATACGCCAAAATTCACCACCAGAAAACTGAAAGTGGTGCCATGACTCAAAGTGGTAGAGTGCTAGCCTTAAGCAGAAAAAGCTCGGAGACAGTGTCCAGGCCCTGAGTTTAAGTCCCAAGACCAAAACAAAACAAAAAAACATGAGAGCAAGCATTCAGATTCAACTTAACTTCCCACCTAACTCCACCTTGAAAGACTTCAACCCCCAGTGCCCTAGGAGAAAAGGAGTCCAGAATGATTCTGGATCTGCCTCCATATATCCCTCACCCCTCCAGCCTCTCCTGGCACTTAGTGACCACACACAGCCCCTATAGTGTGGCTCCCGCATCTGCAAGGATTCCAGGGCCTAGCCTTTGAGGTAGGTCTTCCCAGGCCTGGCCCTCTGTTGATGTATCTTTCCTCAGATCCTTGCTTCTGCAGATGCTGCCCATTTTCCCCAAGCTCAGGCAAGAGGCCTCGGCCTCCACAGAGCCCTCTGAGGATTGCTACCAGTTCTTCACAGCCTACTCTTGTGAATTCTATCTATCTGGCAGGCCTGAATGTCAAGGATCCAGGCACAAAACAGGCTCTAAGGAACCCTGGAAGAGCCTTGTATCCCAGGAAGAAACTCATAGTGGAACAGGACCCTAACAAAAGTAACATCTACAGGCCCCTCCATGTGCTCTACAGGTGATGTGAAGGAGAGCACAGCATTGGATCAACAGGTTTGCTCATGCCACCACGAATGTCATCTTGCTGAACAACTGTGGGTTGCTTAGCCCTGGCTTCATCACTTTAATGGCTCTCAAAGGTTTTAGGACCAGAACCTTAAGCATAGCCCCATGATCTGTTCATATTTCCTCCAAACTGTGACCCACAGGCAATCACAAGCATTACCCGTCCTCATCCTCCACTTGGCTGGTTCCTCAGACGTCAGCCACCCCCAAGAATCCTGAAGCTCAGTCCCAGGTTATGTCTCTTCACCCCTCCCAGTCCTTTGTATCATGGTATAGCTACCATCTTGCACTCAACAGTGGCTGGTGTAATGCTGTTTCCCTGGTCTCTAGGCTCTAAGAATGGCTGTTTCTAAATCACTAGTGTCCCTCTGCACCTAGAACAAGATCCTCAAATGCTTGTGGATGGATGCATCAGTGGAAAAGCCAAGCTTGGAGGGCAGTGGACTTCCTTGTGGGCAGGTCCCTGGTCCACAGGCCTCCAACACTAGAGTCACCCTGGAGGTCTTCAGTCTGATCTAACCCACTCCCTGGAAGATATCAGGTACCCCAGGCCTTCAGGCATGTCCTTAGCAGCTCTGCTTGTGCCAAACTGACCCTCTGGCACATCCCTTGAGAACCAGAGACCAACCACGCTGTCCTGGGCAAAGGCAGGATTTGAGGGAACCATATCCATAGAAAAGAAGGGATGCCCCAGACAGAGCTCCCAGGGTGCCCATTATGTGAGGGAGAATTATCATGAACCTGAATCTTGGACTATGGCTCTTAACTGCCAGTCCTTTCTGGAAAACAAAGGGGTAAATTGTCCTAGAAGAGTGAAATGCCCAGGAGAAAGCCAGAGGGTCTTGGTGCTGCTGGCAAGATGTCACCATGGGGTCTTCCTATCCATTCTGTCTGGCAGCCCACAGAGTATGCCCTACATGCCCAGGTGTTGAGCACAGTTGGTGCTAAAGGGCTTGGGGATGAGCAGTGTTTAGAGCATTACTCACCAAGTGTAAGCTTTGGGTGGGGACACAGCTAACATGCCCTGCCCATCTCGTCCACCTGTTAAAGTGCTGCTGATCTTCTGCACCTGGGCTCCTATGTCGCTTTCTCATTGAACTCTACTACCTCTTCTCCCCTTCACCCATCACCTCTCAAAAATTGTCTTCCTTACTTGCCCTCAGAACACAGCATTGCTGGCTCACCTGTCCTAACAGCTCCCCATAGGCACAGGATGCCTGTGATGGACAAGTGGCTACCAGGCATACAGAATGCCATTTTCCAAAGCCAATATATATGCACCAAGTACAAAAGATGGTCTTGAAGTAACCCCTTCCCATTGCACATGTCCACAGTGCCTGGATTACATGGATGCCCTGCACCCCTCAAAGCTTGTTCATGTGCAATGCTTGTTAAGTGCTGACAACACCCAGTCCCTCCACTTCCCACCAATGACCAGATAGATCTAGGCTGGCTCTTGCCTGGCTTCCCCGGATTCATAGAAGCCCAGATTCCTCAGACCTGGTCCCAGGCACTGGCTTTCAAACTCATCCGATCTTAAAATAGGACTTGGGTTGTGCAATAGTGGCCCATTACTTAAGAGAGAAAAAAAGACAAAGCATTCTTCTCTTCCCTCCTGCCTTGTACAATGCAAGCACTTTCCTGATCCATCCTCTGTGCCCGGGCCTCCCTCCAGATATGCACCTGTCTGCTTGGACCCTGGGCCACCCAGCTGGGGATTCTGCACATCCCTTAGCATTGCCTGCCCCCACCACCTATTTATCTTGCCCAGGGTACTAGTCCAAAGAGCCTGCTAGCTCATCCCAAATCTAGAGATGTGTCCTTTTAACAGGCTTGGAACCACCCCTGGCCTGGCTGGACCAGAGCAAGCACCACTGATTCCAAGGATACAGACTAACTCTACAATGAGTTTTCTCCATACCCCTGAAGTAGCTGCAGGAAACTGGTCCAAGTGAGATGAGGACTAATGCAGGGTCAGTTTCCATAGTTAGGAGAGGGAAATGGGAATGGAGCTGGAACTCTGGCTGGACCTGGGCCACCTCCCCTTGGACCTAACTTGTATTGGGGAAGCCACAGCAAGAAAGAGGTGCAGGGAGGGTTACCACAGGCCTGGGTGCCAGCTTCATTCCAGTGGGTGGGGTGGGGGGTGCTTCTTCCAGGGCAGCCTGGCTTCTAGGGTTCTAGAGGCCTTATTCCTCCCAGCCTAGTCCCCACTCCAGGCAGCCTGGCTTTATGACTTCATTTGCTGAAGTCACCCGGCGACAATGCTGAGCGTTCCACCCCCCCAAGTCCAAGCCCAGCCCAGCCAGACGCCTCCCACAGTGGAAATGAAGACAATGCCTGCTGGCCCGTGTGGGGAGGAGATGTAGAGGGCAGCGGCACCGGCCGCTCTTGGCACCATGGACGATGCCGCGGTCCTAAGGAAGAAGGGTTACATCGTGGGAATCAATCTAGGCAAAGGCTCCTACGCAAAAGTCAAATCCGCCTACTCTGAGCGCCTCAAGTTCAATGTAGCAGTTAAGATCATCGACCGCAAGAAAACACCCACTGACTTCGTAGAGAGATTCCTTCCTCGGGAGATGGACATCCTAGCAACTGTCAACCACCGTTCCATCATCAAGACGTATGAGATCTTCGAGACTTCTGATGGGCGCATCTACATCGTCATGGAGCTGGGCGTCCAGGGTGACCTCCTTGAGTTCATCAAGTGCAGAGGAGCACTGCATGAGGATGTGGCTCGCAAGATGTTCCGCCAGCTGTCCTCCGCTGTCAAGTACTGCCACGACCTGGATGTTGTCCACCGAGACCTCAAGTGTGAGAACCTTCTGCTCGACAAAGACTTCAACATCAAGCTGTCAGACTTCGGCTTCTCCAAGCGCTGCCTGCGGGATGGGAGTGGGCGCATTGTCCTCAGCAAGACCTTCTGTGGGTCTGCAGCGTATGCAGCCCCCGAGGTGCTGCAA